GTACCAATTTACACTCCTGGGTTGTGAAAGGCGCACGAACTCAACACACTTACCCGGCCAGGGGCCTGTTTCTGTAAAGTCCCAGTCTCTTAACGGGCCCATAAAGCTGTTACGTTTTCATTCAAGATGGGGATTTCAAACGTCTTGAAAATAGGCTTTTATAGATTATGCTAGCATAGTTTTTGGCATAATTGGAGCAAACTGGCATAATTTCTGCCAAGTTGCAATGCTAGCATAATTCGCATATTTTGATAATTATCGGATCACTTTTGATGCTACAATTTAGTCATTGTTCATCTCTGCTCCCAAGCACTTGGTGACGTTGTTCGATGTTTTAAGTTTTAGTTCAAGTAGTAGCATTTGTAGTTCACTGTGAATCACTGAGAAGCGTCTGAAACGGCCTGAGCCCGGGTCTGGGGTGCACCGGAACCGGAAGTAACATTGAAGGCCATGTAGAGTCCAGTACTAGTGTGCATGTTAACATGAACCACATGTTTATTTGAATTTCACTGTGGATTTGTTGCGTTTCTTTCTTGTAGACCAACGGCTTCTAATTAAAAAATGTATTTGTTGGACTTATTTGCAATTTTTTCAAAGAGCATAATTTTGAAAAAAGGGGCATAATTTGGAAAAAAAGAGCATAATTTTAGCATCGCCAAAAAAAGCAATGCTAGTAGCATAATATGCTACTTTTACTAGCATAATCTAGCACAACCCACAATTCCTCTACTCGCTCCGACGAAGGGCTAACGAAACGTGAGCTTTTGGAATCGTTACGGCGGCCAATTTACCACTTCAACTTTGTTGATATATCCAAATTATTTCGTTACTCCCACCGACGCAGCCCCAAACAGTTTCTTTGGAAACTATCAGCCTTTAATCTATAAAGGCCTACTTGAAATTGATACAATAAAACTATCAGCTAAAGAAACAAAAAGGACTGATTTGCGTGCCAGAACCTGCTTTTCTATCCTTTAAATTCTGATTTTGAAACATGGCTGTGGGCCCGTTAAAGTTACCGGGCTTTCGAGAAACGGGCCTCAGGTCTCGAACCCAGACCTCTCTCTCTCCGCTAACCATAATTAGGAGTCCCATACTTACGATGCCAGAAATAAAGTCAGACAGAAGCTGCGGGAAAGGCTTGTTTGTATACGAGGAATAGTTATAGGGCTTCACCAAATTACACTTAAGATCATCATCTTCTCCGCTATTCTTCAGCAAAACGTCCCTCTTCTTTCTTGCTGGCGAAGATGCTGTTGCATTAGTTGGAACAACCGTGAACGAGCTTGAGGAGTTTGAAGTAAAAGAAGACGCGTTTTGCGGAGGCAATGTTAATGGGAGTTCCTCTCCTGAACTGAGGGCTTGTGGAACGATCACAAAACACAGCGTTAGAACGAAGATGTAAATGTTTAACCAAAGAAGCCACTTGAGAAATGTGAAATATGATAAAACACCATTTCCGAATGATCCTGTAAAATAACACACAAAAAACATCTAAATTAAAAAAAAGTCAGTGTTGTGCCAGTCGAAAAAAGTGCCTCGTGGGGTGAAATTTTGCATGAGACTCGGTTTGGGATTGGCAACTCTGTTTTGTTTTGTTATTTCCCTTTTTGCTTTTCGTGATGACTTTGGACTAAAAAACCTCTACAAAAAATGTCCCGGTCCCCTTTCACCCGTAATTTCCCCAATCTCAAACATTTTGTAAGAAACAATTAAAAACAGACAGATTAAAACTAAAGCTGAAAGTGATGGTCCCATAGTTCCAGAAATCTATTTGATAATGCCAGAAGCTGAACTGGTTTTTGTGAACGCACCTTCTATTTCCTTGAAGTGTCCTCTCCACAACTCATACGAGTTTATGAACTCCTTGCAGCTTTCGTAGCATTGTTTGAACGTCTAACAAAAAAAATTTACTCGTGCTTATTTACAGCAAATTACACTCGAAGTAATGTTATACCCTATACCTATGACGTTCTCCACATGCGTTCTCCATTGGAAAGACCAGACGAATTCGAGCGCCTTTCCTTAGACACACCCAACGACAAAAGAGCTTTCAACGTAGCTGTTTGCTTAACACACTTTTTTGAATTTCATTGAAATTCGGTTAGACTGTTTTCTAACCGACTTTTACAAGATAGATTCCATTCACAATCGAATTGAAGATTCAATTATTTCCTATCTATGAGACAACCTCGTTTAACTGACCACCCCTTTAGTAACGACCTAACATTCAGGGTCGAGAAGTTGTCGTGGTAACCAGGCGCCACAATATGTATGTAAAAGAAATATACAAAAACCAACGAAACAATCACAGAATACAGTTACAATACAAATAATCTGATAACAATATTGCCATTCATCTCAGAATAATTCTGAAAAAGATTAAGCAGAACCACGTATGCCCGCCCACTTAGCTCGACGAGATTAAAGGACGGCTGCGAATAAGACCACAGTCAAGTCACTACAGCCACAGCCAATTGGCACGAATTGTTTTCTATTTCTATTTAAAAAAATTCCCTCTAGATAAAAGGGATTTGATGTGAAAAACAAATTTAAGCATTCTGGGCTTAATAGCATTGAATAAATGTTGCCTCTCCATCTCAGCAAAGTACGTGTACAACAGCAACTTACCATAGAAATTCGAAGTCGCAATTCTGTAAAAGAGGAAAGCCCTTGCAATCCATTTGTATCTGGGGTGCTTCCGAAAAAGCAAGAGCGGAAAAGAAACAAACGATTTTAAACCTACACAATCTTTTATACAGACTTCACCCAATAAAAAGTACATTTTTTTAATCCTAAATGGGGTTTGCGAACATCAAAACAGGGTTTGTGGTCTTTTAATGACCTCTAGTAGCGTAAGAACCTAAGGTTCTCTGCAAATATATTTTAACTGTAACTGTCTCTCTTTCAAGTTATTTTTCTACCTTCTCTTCCTCAGCTTCATAAGACGCACAGTTAATGGCTCAGTTTGCTCAAACTTTCCTTTCCGTGATCTCATTACTTCACTCTCCTCCATATCCAAGACATCAGAGTCTTCACTCTTCACGGCTTCGTAAGCGTGTTCTTTTGACCGCTCTCTATCCTTCATCTTTTTCCTGGTGTGTCGCTTCCAACGCGAAAGCTGACGACTTGGTAGATTTTTTAAAAGGTCCAACTTCTTAGAGTCGGGATCTTCAACTGAACAAGAAAAAAATAATAATAATAAGTTCTTGCGATGATATTCGGTCGTTAATGTATACTAGTTGGACTTAAACAGGTTTTAAATTTCAAATACTGCGGAACTTGGACAAATATCTAAGCAACCTGCCCGTTGCTTCGAACATTGCGATTCCGGCCCATCCCTCTCTCCTTTATTACAATCTTCCACCTTCCCTCCCTCCCTCAGTCCATCTGGGTTGATTTCTGTTCTACCTTTTCGTTTAATCATTCAAATATTTCTTTTTCTTTTTCCTTTTGTCGTTGATTTTTTTTTTTTTTTTTTTTTTTTTTTTTTTTGTCCTTTCATTTGTACTTAGTTTGTTTTGGCAAGCTTTTTTTGGTATTCTTGACCGCCGGTTTGGTTATTCTCTTAATATATAAATAGTCAATGTTTAAAATGGATAAGATTTCCAGGCGATAAGTATTTTCGTTTTTTATCTATTTTTCATTCTTTTTGGCGAAATTTACCTCCATCGCGAACGGTGGCAAAATTTGAACCGGAAAATGAATAAACATCGTCTTGAAGAAAATATCAAGTGTCATGTAATATGCTATTACCCGATTAACGAGCCTTTAAAATGTTAATAATTTGAATATATCAACAAAGTTGAAATGGTAAGTTAAATTGATGAAAAAACGTTCCTCCTTCCCTTGTACGTATAATCGTCTTATCAAAGAGTAATTTATGTATAGTCGGCAATAAGTAGTTTCATCTTCCGATAAGTCACTGAAATTCCTTTAATGAGCATCCAGTCAAACTAAGTCATTTGTCGGTTTCTTGTAGGATAGTAGTGGGTGCGTCGAACCGGAAAGAACCAAAACATCTAAACATACAAGTTAAAGGTGAATGAATTAGGAAGCGCCCTGAACAATCACTTAAAAAGGTATAAAACTCAAAGTCTGTCATAAACACAAAGTCTGTCATAACTTATGAAATTATATGGCTATTATTGTTGAGACATCTAAATATAACTTAGTCTCGCAATTTCAGGAGTTGATAATTCCACTTTAAAGCGTTCTGAAATCAACCCCCGTGAACTCCTCGTTCTGAGATAGCGAGCGCACATAATTAACCGACATCAACAAAACGGTTACTGTTTTCTAGAGCATTTTACGTACCATAATCCATCGTTAATTGTGTCTCGGGCCCGCTTGGAAATTCACGGCTCGTTTCCTTTGAAGTCTCGTCCATTCGAAGGTCTATGTTATTAATATTTACGTGGTTTTTGGGTGACAATTGTTTGTAAAAGCTGCCCTACTGACAGTTTGTATTTGCTAGACCCTCTCCGTCTTTGGCACCAAAAAAGTCAATCGAAAAGTATGAGAGCATCTCGCACAAATTTGCACGCAAACAGACAACTTGAGCAAGCAACGTAGAGAACTTATTCATCCCACATGAAAATTTTTAATTGAGACACAATTTACATAACATTTTTCCGGGTAAGATGCAAACGCCAATTGGCGTTTTCGCATCATTGAAGTAAACAACTAAAGGCTCATTCTTAAAGGTATCTATGACAAAAACATTGAAAAAAGCCATTTTGATTGGCATCAGATGGAGTTGATTTGCGCAACAATGTTGCGGAAACCCGCCTAGCATTAAATTCGAAAATTTTGTTCAACGTAACGACAAAGAGCTGCGAAAAAAATTCAACACGAGCGAAAACTAAGAATTATCACCAATCAACGCAATTTCCCAGAGAAGCACAAAGTATAATTATTATAATGTCTTATTGGCCGAACCAAACTTCCAAATAGAAATTCAAAACTGACCTTAAAAAAAGGTTTAAAAACGCGTTTTGCCCTTTTAATTGTTTACTGAATATTCTTCAACAATTATTCAACGAGAAATATATACCGTTGCCAAGCTTCCACCATCGTTTAAAAGAATTCAAGAAAATTATGCCAGAAATTTTCACACTTGGACATTGTGCCGACCATTCTTCGCTAACAGCGAAAGCTAAACTCTTGTAGCCATAGCAATTTCTTTTGAAACAAATTATTTTTACCGCGATCAAAAACATAGGTTGTTGTAGTCAAAATAAAACAGACCTTAAGCAAACCAAGACGGCGACAGCAACGAGGAATTGGTACAACAAATGATGTAATTGGCAGAACAATAGCCAGCACGTGCTTTTTATAACTTTGTGCATTTCTTAGCCGTCCAAGCACAACAACGTGAAATCACCAAAATTTGCGTCGTCTGCAAATGGAAACCGCGACGGCAAATTATCTTAATTTCCATATGAAACTCAAAGCTACTTATATACATTATGCTGAAGAGGAGGTGCGACGCCGTAAGAAGCGGTAAACACATGCAGCCAATTTCGAAATTCTAACTAAAAATAGAAATTCATTTTCTAATAGACGTCTTGCTTCGCGTTGCCGTCCTGACTGCTTAAGGTCCCTAAAATTTGTGTTCAGTAACTGAAGCTCGCCATCAACTAAGTTGAGAGTGAGTAAAACTATTACGATTGCATACCTGCCTGTGACTAATTATCTGTTCCGATCGCTCAGAAGTTGTTGCCACGGCTGGTGTTTTAGATCTCCAAATTTTGAGAGCAGAGCTACTTTTTTTATTTTATTTTATTTTTTTTTTTTTGGAAGTAACTAAGTTTTATTTGTTCACATCAGATGGTTATTACTAGGCTGGCTTGCAAAAAGCGAAGAGCTAATCGCGGCAAGCCAGACAGTTGACAAATAATTTTACACAATTTTATACAGTTCTTCGAGGAAACCCTTGTATTATTAGTGATTGAAATCACCGTAATTGAAAACTGTCACAGGAAACTTAAACCAGTTGACGCACCCATCAAGAACAAGGATGGGGACAGAATTTCTCCTTACAATATTAACACAATATCAAGCAGACAAGTAATGAGAATAGAAAAAAACATCAACGAGGGGATCATTAGTTGATCCAATACCAAATTCTCATAAGAGTTGTATGGCAGACGGTTAGAAGAATTAGTAAAGAGATCAAGGGTTAACGGTACGGAAAAGGAATTTGTTTGATCACGTGCGGTTTTGATGAGGTTGTTATCTCAGTAATAAAACTACATCTACTACTGAGTAAATTCAAAGATAAGCACCGAAAATGAAGAAAACAAATAGAAATACCTTTTGAGTACTACGGTGTAGATAGTTTCTTCAAAACGATTTATTGTAGAGTCCTCTGCGACAGCCAGTAAGCTTTGAAAAAAAAACGTTAAAGATGGATTTTTAAAAGCATCAAAGGTTCATACTGGAGTCAAACTAATCATAAATGAAAATTAAATCGTTCATCTCACAATTAAAATTATCAATTGCAAAGTTAGGTCATCAGTTAAGGATGGCGACGTTTCAACGGCTGTACTGCTGGCTTCAGTCTGGCGATGTGGTTGCTTGGATGACTTCGTTTCGCTATTTACGATAGGGATGGTTGGGTGCTATTGGTTTATTTCTCGTGCTCTCATTGGTGCATTTTGACTTTCATTGTTAATCAGACGACTAGACGTTTTCCATCACAATCCAAATTTTTTTTCTCGTTATTTTCGTAATACAGAAAATACATGAGATGCTGAGCCAATGGAGAAATAAAAACGTTCACAAAGAAAGTATACTCACCAAAATCGATGCACAATGTGTCAAGTACTGTTCTTGGTTTAATGCGCCACTGCAACAATCTCATCATTGCATCTCGATCCATTCTTGTTTTCATCCTTTTTTTTTTTAGCGCATTTCACTTTCAATATACGCCCTTTTAACAAACTCGTCAAAGACGAATTACTGAGCATCGAGTTGCGATCAGGGCATTGCCAAAGGGTTGACCTAGTCCCGGAAAATGCTTGCAGTTTGGCCGAAAGCTAACCGACAGTTGACCTACTGTTGACTGACTGTCACTCCATAGCAGTTCGACAGTAATCCAAGTCTTGCTGACTATTGGCAATCTACAGGCATACA